GCCAGACTTCATCTCACCTACTTTGGTCATGTTGTCAGAAGAGACCATTCCCTGGAGAAAGATGTCATGCTTGGTAAGCGTCGATGAAAAAGGGGAAGGCCTTTGACGAGATGGATTGACATGGTGGCTGTAACAATGGGCTCAAGTATAGCAGGAATCATGGAGTTTCGTTCTGCTGTGCATGGGGTCACTATGAGTCGGAAGCGACTCGACAGCACCTAACAACAACAATACGTCATCTGATGTCCCAACTGCTGCTTGCACTGGTGTTGATTGTAGAACCAAGTAATATGAAGTCTTTGACAACTTCAATCTTTTCTCCATTTATCATGATGCTGCTTCTAGGTCCAGTTGTGAGGATTTTTGTTTTCTTTATATTGAGATGTAATCCATACTGCAGACTGTATTCTTCAATCTTCATGAGTAAGTGCTTCAAGTCATCCTACTTTCAGCAAGCAAAGTTGTGTTGTCTGCATATCACAGGTTGTTAATGATTCTTCCTCCAATCCTGATGCCATGTTCTTCTTCATGTAATCCAGTTTCTCAGATTATTTGCTCAGCATACAGATTGAATAAGTATGGTGAAAAGATACAACCCTGAAGCACTCCCTTCTTGATTTTAAACCATGTGGTGTCCCCTTGTTCTGTTTTAATGACAGCCTCCTGGTCTATGTAAAGGTTCCTCATGAGTACAACTAAGTGTTCTGGAATTCCTGTTCTTCTCAATTTATCCATAATTTGTTATGATCCACACAATCAAATGTTTTTGCATAGTCAGTTAAACACAAGTAAACATCTTTCTGGTATTCTTTGCCAAAATCCATCTGACATCAGCAATGATATTCCTCATTCCACATCCTCTTCTGAATCCAGCTTGCATTTCTAGAAGTTCTCTGTCAATATACTGCTGCAACTGTTTTTGAATTATTTTCAGCACGATTTTACTTGTGTGTGATGTTAATAATACTGTTCGATAATTTCCACATTCTGTGGGATCACTTTTGTTTGGAATGGTACAAATATGGATCTCTTCCAGTCAGTTGGCCAGGTAGCTGTCTTCTAAATCTCCTGCCACAACCAAGTGAGTGCCTCCAGGACAGCATCTGTTTGTGGAAACATCTCAATGGGTATCTCTTCAGTTCCTGGAGCCTTGTTTTTCATCACTTCTTCAGTGCAGCTTTGACTTCTTCCTTCATTACCGTTAGTTCTTGATCATATGCCACCTCCTGAAATGGATGAACATCGACCAGTTCTTTTTGGTACAGTGATTCTGTGTAGTCTTCCTATCATCTTTTGATGCTGCCTGCCCACCAGCCACTCCTCAGAAGGAAGGTTGAGCAATCTACTTCCGTAGTGATACTGCCTTGGGAACCCAAAAAGGGGTTGCTATGAGTCAGGTGCAACTCGATGGCACATAACAGCAACACCGCATCATTCCATATTTTGCCCATAGAATCTTTCAATATTGCCACTCAAGGCTTAAATTTTTTTTCAGTTTGTTCAACTTGAGAAATGCTGAGAATGTTCTTCCCTTTTGGTTTTCTAACTCCAGATATTTGCACATTTCATTGTAATAATTGGCTTTGTCTTCTCAAGCTGCTCTTTGAAATCTTCAGTTCAACTCTTTATCTTGTCATTTCTTCCATTTGCTTTAGCTACTCTCTGCTCAAGGGCAAGTTTCAGAGTCTCTTCTGACATCCATTTTGGTCTTTTCTTCCTTTCCTGTCTTTTTAATGACCTTTTGCTTTCTTCATGGATGATGTTCTTGATATCATCTCACAATTCCTCTGATTTTCAGTCATTGGTGTTCAATGCACCAACTTGATTCTTTAGATGATCTCTAAATTCAGGAGGGATATAATCAAGGTCATATTTTGGCTTTCATGGACTTCTTTTAATTGTCTCCAGCTTCAACTTGAACTTGCATATGAGCAGTTGATGGTCAGTTCCACAATCACCTCCTGGCCTTGTTTTGGCTGAAGATATTGAACTTTTCCATCACCTCTTGCCACAGATGTAGTCAATCTGATTCCTGTGCATTCCATCTGGTGAAGTCCATGTGTATAGCTGCCATCTTTGTTGTTGAAAAAAAGATATTTGTAATGAATAACCCATTGGTCTTACAAAATTCTATCATGTGATCTCCAGTGTTATTTTTATTACCAAGGCCAAATTTTCCAACTACCAGTGATTCTTCTTTGTTTCTAACTTTTGCATTCCAATCACCATAATCAGCACATCTTGATTGAATGTTCAATCACTTTCAGACTGCAGAAGTTGGTAAAAATCTTCAATTTCCTCCTCTTTGACTTTGGTGGTTGGTGCCTAAATTTGAACAATAGTAGTATTAACTGGTCTTCCTTGTAGGCATATGGCTATTATCCTATCACTGACAGCATTGTAATTCAGGATAGATCTTGAAACATTCTTTGTGGTGATGAGTGCCACTCCATTCCTCTTCAATTAATCATTCCTGTAATCATATAGTAGATTATATGATTGTCTCATTTAAAATGGCCCAAACCAATCCATTTCAGCTCACTAATGCCTAGGATATCAATCTTTATGCATTCCATTTCATTTTTGACACCTTCCAATTTAATAGATTCATACTTCATACATTCCATGTTCTGATTATTAATGGATGTTTGCAGCTATTTCACCTCAGTTTGAGTCATGCCACATCTGCAAATGGAGTTCCTGAAAGCTTTGCTTTACCCATATCATTAAAATCAGTGCTATTCTGATGAGACAGTTTTTTCCCAGTCATATTTTGAGGGCTTCTGACCTGAGAGGCTCTTGTCTGGCACTGTATCAGACAGTGTTTAAGGGCTATTCATAAAGTTGTCTAGTAATGTAACACAGTGTTTCTCTACTACTCATAAGGTTTCCCCTGGCCAATTCTTTGAGCAGTGGATGGCCTCTTCCTTCTTCAGAGTCTGTCTCAGTCTGGAAGCTCCACTGAAATCTGTACACCAAGGGCAACTCTGCTGGCGTTTGAAACACCGGTGGTACAGCCTCCAGCCTCACAGCAACATGCAAGCCACCATAGTATGGAAAACTGACAGATGAGTTCGTTTCCCTTAGTTGTTCCAAACCTCTCTATCTATTTCCTGGCCTTCCCCCTACCTGTCCCAGCTGTCAGCCCTGACTTCTTCCCACAGCTTCCTGCCTGGGTGGGTTCTCTCCCTCCCTCCCCTTACATGGATCGGGCCATTGGCCCTGGCTTTTTCCAGCAGCTTCCTGCCTTGGGTGGGTTCTCTCCCTCCAATCCTGATGCCATGTTCTTCTTCATATAGTCCAGTTTTGTTAAAGATAATTCAAAAATGGCTGCAGCAGTATATTGACAGAGAACTTCCAGAAATGCAAACTGGATTCAGAAAAGGACATGGAACAAGGGATATCATTGATGATGTCAGATGGATCTTGGCTGAAGCCAATAACAGGCATGGGGAGGGAGGGAAAATAGATGGATAATTAAGAGACAGGTTTGATATTTGTGAAGGGATTTAAAAAATAAAGAAATAAGATTACCTGTTGTTTGATAGTTTTTGAAGCTAGGTTATGGGCACTTGGGAGTTAATTGTATTAGTCTTTGTTTCTGTTTAAAATGTTTTATAATAATAATAATAGTAAAAAGGAAGTACTTTATTTGCCTTTACACATGTAAATATCTTTAAATGATAGCAAAAAAAAATACATTATTGAGATTGATTTTTCCTAAGATTGTTTTTGTTTTGAGACTTAATTCAAAATATTAAATATTCATATCAGCTAATTTATATATTTATTTATTTATTATATTTAGACTGATAGATATAGATATATAAAGAACCAGTCAGCTCAGGGTATTGTCCTGACTGGTGCTGATTGTTGGATGGTTCAGGACCCCAAACTTATTCAATGTCTTTTTCCCTCAAAGCAGAAGTCAGCAAAGAGGGATCTGTCAAACAAAGAAGGGTTGCCACTTAAAGCTCTGTTTTTGGAACTCAACACTTGAACCCAGTTACTGCGACCCTCATTCAGGTATCAAGGACCACCTGATGGGACCATCAGCTGGTAGGATCACCCCATGGTGGGAAAGTACAAGAATTCATGGCGAAGCTGCCACCATCACCCACTGCCCTACCCACTTTCTCTTTTCTGACATTGTCCAGCAAGCCCTGGCCTAGTGCAAATACTGCCGAAGGCCCTACTTAGCTGCATCACCCAGGGTCTTATTCTCCATTGTAAGGAATCCCTCAAGCCTCGAAGCAAAGCATAGATTTTATAGAGTTAGTATGAGTCAGAATTGACTCAACAGGATTCAGTTTTGTTTTGTAGGGAAAATCATTATTTTTCATGATTTGAGTTTCATATACGTTTTAAAATACAAGGTAAGATGGAAACAAACTAAATGCCCACCATCGGATGAATGGATAAACAAACTATGGTACCTGCACATAATGGAATACTACACAATGTTACAGAATAACAATGAAGCTGTGAAACACCTAATACAATCTATGAACCTGGAGAACATTAGGCTGAGTGAAATTGGTCAATCACAGAAGGACAAATACTGTAGGAGACCACTACTATAAATGTTAACAAAATGTTTAGTCACAACCAAAGGTGGGCTGGGAAATACCCACTGCTGTTGAGTTGATTCCAACTCATAGTGACCCTATAGGATGGAGTAGAACTGCCCACAGAGTTTTCAAGGTTGTAACTCTTTTCAGAAGCAGACTGTCTCATCTTTCTCCCATGGAGCAGTTAGTGGACTCAAACTGCCAAACTTTTGGTTAACAGCCAAATGTGTAACCACTATGACATTAGAGCTCCTTGGATGAAAGGAATGGCAATATATAAGGGTGAGGTCAGCACAAAATGATCAAGACAAAGGAAGACACAGGAGGAGCAAAAGTGTTAAAGGCAACAAATGTAAACACTATTACATACCTAATCCTGCAATAACAGGAATAACAATAATCAACGAGTGGATACACAGATAGCTGAACATGGGTGGGAAGGTGAATGAGCCACACCCATGAACATATATTACTTTGACAGAGGATATTTCCACATATGTATTTGAATGTACTGTAAATGTGTTCATGAATATAGTAGAGCATACAAGGGGCAAAGTTATGAAAACTTTTTAGCCATAACCAAACCTTGAAGGAGGGAATCTCTCTGAGTCTAAGGACTCAGGACTGTAGTCTTGGGGGATATAAAATTCAATTGGCATAACACAGCCACAAAGACAATGTTCTACATCCAGCTATAGTGAGTAGTGACTAAGGTCTCAAAAGCTTGTGAGCAGCCATCTAAGGTGGAACTATTGGCCTCTCCCCATCCAGACCAAAGAAGAGTAAAGAAGTCAAAGACACATGGAAACAATTAGTCCAAAGGACAAATGGTCTACTTGAACACCATCTCCCACAATCCTGATACCAGAACAGCTAGATAGTGCCCAGCTATCACTGCGGCCCACTGTGAAAAGGATCACAATAGGCGGTCCTGGATAGAATGGGAGAAAAATGTTGAACAAAGCTCAAAATCATCAAAAAGACCAGGCTTACTGGTCTGATAAAGACTGGTGGAACCCTGAGATATGGCCCTTAGACACCCTTCAAGCCTGGAACTGAACTTACACCCATGACTCAACTTTTAGCTAAACAATAAACAGGTCTATAAGGTGAAAAATAATACCAGGGAGGTAGGTATGCACTCTTTAGAACAACCAATCATGTGAGATCAAAAGGGCAGCATTTGCCCAGGGATAAAACTCAGAAGGCAGGAATGGATAGGAAAGAAGGAAGAATGCAAACTGTATACACAGGGAGAAGTGAGAAGAATGTTGTTACACTGTGGGGATTGCAGTCAATGTCACTAATCAAAATATGTATGAATTGTTGAAAGGAAAACCAATTTTCTCTGTAAACTTTCACCCAAATCACAATAAAATGTTAAAAATGAAATAAAATACAAGATAAGAAACAAGGAAATTTTGCTAAAAGCCCTTTTTGTTTTTCAGATCTCCCACACCAAGCTTTCTGAGGACGATGAGTGGAGGTAAGTGACTAATGTTCTTTATAGCTCTTGTACTAAAAATTAGATCTCCCTCCTAACAGTTTGAGGAATTGGATGAAATAGCTTTGTAAATTTCCCATCTAGAGAAGGTGGATTAGAACAGCAATGTGGGGTTGCACGCACAAAAATGCACTAGACCAAAATCAAATGGATTTTTATCTGCTTTCTGTAGTGCTGTCTCACAAAGTTGCATTTATAGATCCTCCATGTTGTTGTGTTGTTGTTATGTGCCGTCGAGTCAGCCCCGACTCATAGCGACCCCTCCTTGGGTTTCCGAGGCAGTATCACTACGGAAGTAGATTGCCCAACCTTCCTTTGGAGGAGTGGCTGGTAGGTTTGAACCGCCAGTCTTCTGGTTAGCAGTCAAGTGCTTTAGGCACTATGCTACCAGAGCTCCTATAGATCCTCCATAATATGACAGTATCATGTTAGTATTTACTTTAAGCACATGATACACCTGGTTTTCTTCTGTGGTGCAGTTCTTAATATGAAGTTATTGAGCCTTAAGTGTACGACATGAAATGAAATAAAAATGAAAAGTTCTTCCTTTATTGCACTAAAGCCCTAACACCAAACCCACTGCCATCAACTCAATTCTAACTTGTGGCAACCCTTAGCAACAGAGTAGAAATGCCATATAGGGTTTCCAAGGCTGCAAATCTTTTTATGGAAGCAGATTGCCTCATCTGTGGGAAGCAGACTCCCACAGAGTGGCTGGTGGATTTGAACTGCTGACCTTTTGGTTAGCGGTTGAATGCTTTAATCTCTGCACCACCAAAGTTCCTTTTATTACATTATAGGAAACAATTTTGGATGTATTCCTACACAAAGAATATTTATTATTAGTACTTCCACATAGGTTAACCCCTTTTAGATATTTTTTCATTTTATATAAATAGATTAATGTTATAAAGCATATTTTGTTTTATATATAATGAAAGTCCTATTTTAGGCTGATGATAAATTTATTTTTCTATCTACATTGTCTTAAGTCAAAAGTCTACTAATGACATAGATTATTAAGTAGTGATTTTGGATTTGAGGCTATAAAACCCATAACTAAATTCTTGCATCCTTCTCATTTTTCTTCACTTCCCATTTATTCAGAGGAACTAGTATATATATTTATGAGCTTCTAGTATATATATTTATGAGCTTCTATAAATAATTCTGGTCTCCTGCACTCACCTTCCAGCACAAAATTAGCATGTAATTTCATTCAGGTTGCTTACCTGATGAGGACTTTAGGTTCTCCATTTGAAAAATGAAGAGGTTTCAGTACATCTATATCCCTTCCAGCCTCAACATTATAAGATTCTATCTCTGAGAAGTTGAACTCAAGCAGAAATGATCTACCAAGCTCCATGGTTTCATTTCAGGAGTTCTAGTCACATAGTAGCTAAAACATTCTGCTGCTAACTAGAAGATCTGCAGTTCGAACCTACCAGCTGTTCCACTGGAGAAAGATAAGGCAACCTGCTTCCATAAAGATTTACAGCCTTGGAAACCCTATGGGGTAGTTCTGTTCTGCCCTAAAGGGTTGCTACGAGTCAGAATCAACTCAATGGAAGTAGGTTTGGTTTTGGGGGTTTATCCCACCAGCCACCCTGTGAAAGGAAGACTGGGCAACCTACTTCCCTTAAGATTTACCACCTTGGAAACCCAAAGGGGGTCGCAATGAGTCAGAATCGAGCCTATGGCGGTGAGTTTGGTTTTTTGGTTTATGAGTTCATTTCTACACCTTCTCCAGCAGGGGGCACCCCTGGGATTTGGATGTGGCCCTTTCTCAGGCACTCCGGTACTTTGCTGCTTAGAGTAGCTATAGAAATGTTAAGAGAACCTAAAGGGCAGAACCAACAAATGCTTTTTAAAAGGTCACAGTCTTGTGGCATAGATTATCCTGCAGTGTTTTCTGACTGGTATACTAGCACACTGTAACTAATCCTAAGTGGAAACTTAACTTAAAGGCATTTTGTGACTGATAGTGCCCCCACGGGGGCTGAAGGATAGTTCTCATATTTAATCAGTTTTTAATTGACAGAAATCATGATTTTTCCCTAATTTTCACCTTGGGTCTCTTTCTTTCTCTAATCTTAAAAATTAGTGATGTGGGGGTCTCAACCCCAGAATTTGTGATTTAATTGATCTGGGGTATGGCTTGGGCATTGGGATTTTTAATGGCACTTTGAATTCAGATTTGTTTCTCAATCTTAAAAATTAGTGATGTGGGGGTCTCAACCCCAGAATTTGTGATTTAATTGATCTGGGGTATGGCGTGGGCATTGGGATTTTTAAAAGCCACCCAGTAATTCCTGGTAGTGCAGTGGTTATGCGCTTGGCTGCTAACTGGAAGGTGGGTGGTTTAAACCCACCAGCCACTCCATTGGAGAAAGTTGTGACAATCTGGTTTCTGTAAAAGATTACAGCCTTGGAAACCCTATGTGGCAGTTCTACTCTGTCCTACAGAGTCACTGTGAGTTTGAATCAACTTGACAGCAATGGGTTTGGTTTTTTGAGTTTTACCCGGTAATTTCTAACTTCGAACCAAGGTTGAAAACCATTGCTTGAGACTTTCTTCAAGGTCACTTCTGCTGTAGGAAGTTACCAGATGACCCAGTGTTTTGTTTACTTCATGCTGCTCTAACAGGAGGTCTGGTGGTGTAGTGCCTAAGGCATTTGACTGCTGACCAGCAGGCTGGCAGTTCATACCCACTAGCCACTCCTCGGAAGGGAGATTGGGCAATCTACTTCCATATTGATACCGCTTTGGAAACCCAAGGAGGGGTTGCTATGAGTCAGATCTGACTCGAAGGCAGTGAGTTTGGTTTTGGTGGCTCTAATAGGAAATACCACAAATGGGTGACTTTAACAAACAGGAGTTTATTCTCTTGCAGTTTTGGGTGCTAGAAATCTGAATTAAAAGTGCCAAGCTCTAGGGACTGGGTGAAAGCCCCTTAACCTTGGGCTTCAGCTCTGCCTTTTGCTCCCAGCCCACTAAAGCTGGAGGCTTTTCTCAAGTCAGGCAGCTGCTGACAAACCCAAGGTCAACAAGTAAAAAGGCACAGTCCCAATAATACCAAACAACATGGCAGGCCACTAATTAGAGTCCAGAGATAGTCCAAGATCAACATGAAACATGGCAGGATCCTAAATGAAGACTCAGCTACATGCAGGGTCCAAGCATACCAAAAAGCACAGAGACCTATCTTTCTCAATGCTTCTCCTTACATGGTGGAAGCAGACCATATTCTTAAGGCAGCTACTCAGTTCTCCAGTGGATTCCACTATGAAGCTGATTACCAGTCTCACCGTGGGGAATAACTACAACCAGCTGCCCAGCCACTCAAAACTAGACCCAGCCAAGTTGCAACATAACCTTAACTACCACACCCAGTATCATAGTGATTTTCTCCACCATTGTGCAAAACTGAGTCCAACCAAAAACAGAAACATTAACCCATCATCTGAATGTTGTGCATGTCTAAGATAATAACTGAGCCAATTCTTTCTCCCTGTAATGAAGACAAGTTATACAACTCACTCAGGAACTCCCCATAGCCCAATGATGGACATGATGTCTATATTCTACTTAATGTAGACACTATCTACAGTATATCCTTTCACTTGAAAATATTGGAAATTACCAATGTTCCATTGTTTTTGACTTTCAAAAATGGCAATTTTGTATGATTCAAACTGAGAGTTATTATTATTCCTGATATAGGTACAAATAATATATGCATTTCAATTTAATAATCCCGTGAGATACAGAGGGAGAGTTATCTAAATTTGCAAATGAGAAAGCTGAGGCTTAGAGAAGATAAATAACTTTTCTTAGATTGCATGGTGATTAAGGAGCAGATCCAGAACTGAAAATCAAGACTTCTTGGGGCAATGACCAGTGCTTTTGGCTCCATCACTTAGCTTAAAAAGACAAAGGTCATGGCCAAAAGCAACCAGAAAGCAAAGGATTGAGAGGAATTAGTTTTGCTAACAGAACAAGGCTCTTTCTCTCATCTCCTCCTTCCTCAAACCTGGAGCATGGGAGGAAACTAGAAACAATTATGAAAACTTTATAATCAAACCTTAACAACCCCTACCTTTGAAACTTCCAATTGCCTCCTGTGAATCCACCCTGTTATTTTATTTTTTTGCTAAATGTGCAGGGGCTAGGGCTTTTTTCAGATGGTTTCATTTGCGGTTCCAGCTTTCAGCAGGAGAGGCTATACAAGGTGCACCGGGGCCACGAATCTATGCACGTGGAGATGATCTTGATCTTCCTCTGCGCTCTGGTCGTTGCACAGGTAGTGCTGGTGCAGTGGAGACAGAGGCATGGCCGATCCTACAACGTGAGTCACCCCCACTTGTCCTCACTGCCACATTCCTCCTTATCACTTTGAAGGAAATTAAAAACCAATTGCTACCAAGTTGATTCAATTCAAGTCAAAGGAGAATTGTGCTCCACAGGGTTTTCAAAGTAGATCAGCAGACCTTTCCACCTAATCATTTCTGGGTAGACTAGAACTCCCAACCCTTCAGTTAGCAGTCAGTTGCATTAACCATTTGCACCACCCAGGAACGTGATGCTTTGGTTTAAATCAGTGGTTCTCATGGAGGGTAGGGGGAACCTTTTTCCCCCAAGGAACATTTAGCAATGTCTGGAGATAATTTTTATTGTCTCTACTGGGTGAGGGAGGGTGGTGCTATTGGCATCTAGTGGGTAGAAGTCAAATGCTGCAAAACATCCTCTACAATGCATAAGATAATCTCCTATAACAGAAAATTATTTGTCCCAAATGTTAATAGTGCCAAGGTGGAGAAGCCCTGGTTTAAGTAAACTTATTTCCCTTCTCTGCATCAGCAACTTCTGCCAGTGGCCCCAGAAAAAGGATTGTTGTTGTTGTTATATGCTGTCGAGTTGGACCCAACTCACAGCAACCCCTCCTTGAGTTTCCGAGGCAGTATCACTACAGAAGTAGATTGCCCCATCTTCCTTCTAAGGAGTGGCTGGTGGGTTTGAACCGCCAGACTTCTGGTTAGCAGTCATGTGTCTTAGGCATTATGGATTAGGATTAGCCAAAACAAAAGACTGAGGTTGTCTAACTTTGTTTTATGTGCAATAAATTGTCTTGATAGCAAGGTTTTGCATATCCATGGAAAACATATTAGTGCAAACACTGCACTGATCTCACAAACAGAGCATATTCCGTTCTTTACAGGACAGTCCTACTAGAGCATGTCCACAGGAGTTTGGCCATCTCAGGTCCTTGCACTTGTACCCTGGGCTTCACTAGATCTGAGATCTCACCATTGCAGTGTTTAAAGCAGTGGTTTTCAAAGTTTAGTGTGCATCGCAATCACTTGGTGTGCATTGCAATGGAGAGTTTGTTAATCCAGCTTCCCAGGCTCCATCCCCAGAGTTTCTAATTCAGTTGATCTGAGATAGGCCCCCAAAATTTGCATGTCTAACGTTTTCCCAGGTGGGCTGACGCTCCTGGTCCTCGGACTACACTTATAGTATGACTGGTTTAGACTTGAATATGGCCTAAATGTCCCAAGACTGCAAAAGAAGAACATCTTGAACTAATGCTAATTATACAGCCTTCTGTGGTTCCTTGTTTTGGATTGGTCATTGGATAGGAGGACTGCCTGTAACATATGATGTATTGTTGGCTTGGAATAGTATTTTATTTTAAGCCATCATAAAAATTATTTCCAATGTAGTACAGAGTCTAAAGGACCTTTTTTGAATTCTGTATAGGTTTTATGTTTAGGCACTTTTAGACATTTTATTTAGAAAAAGGACTCATGTTTTATTTTTTTTTTTAAAGCAAATGCATCAATTTTCTACCATCTCATCATTGTCTTGTCAATTAAAACAAGCACCCTCTATATTAAACTTACCAAACAAAACCAAAGGAGCTGTCATTGCACAATGGGTAAGCCCTTTGGCAGCTAACCAGAAAGTAGGTGGTTCAAACCAACCAGCTGCTCTGTGGGAGGAAGATGAAGCAATCTACTTCCATAAAGATGTATAGCCTTGGAAACACTGTGGAGGTCACTATGAGTTGGAATCCACCACTTGTGTCAGTTGTCATTCTGTGGCAGCTTGTGTGTTGCTGTGAGCTGGAGGCTATGCCACTCGTATTTCAAAGACCAGCAGGGTCACCCATGGTGGACAGGTTTCAGTGGAGCCTCCAAACTAAGACAAGACTTGGAAGAAGGAAAGGGCCACCCACTTCTCAAAGAATTGGACAGTGAAAACTTTATGAATAGCAGTGAAACAATGTTTCATATATTACTAGAAAACTTTATGAATAACCCTGAAACTCTATCTGATATAGTGTGGAAGATGAACCCCTAAGGTTGGAAGACACTCAAAATACAAGTGGGGAAGAGATGCCTTCTCACAGGAGAGCCACCTTAATGATGTGAATGGAGTAAAACTTTCGGGACCTCCATTTGCTGATGTGGCACCACTCGAGATGGAAAGAAACAACTGCAAACATCCATTAATAATCTGAACATGGAATGTAGGAAGTATGAATCTACAAAATTTAGAAATTGTCAAACCTGAAATGGAATGCATAAAAATAGATATCCTAGGTATTAGTGAGCTGAAATGGACAGGTTTTGGCCATTTTGAATTGGACAACCATATGATCTACTACAGTGGGAATGACAATTTGAAGAGGAATGGCACATCACAAAGAATATTTCAAGGACTATCCTAAAGTACAATGCTGTCAGTGACAGAATAATATACATACATCTACAAGGAAGACCAGTTAATACCACTATTATTCAAATTTACATACCAACCACCAAGGCCAAAGATGAGGAAATTGAAGATTTTTACAAACTTCTGCAGTCTGAAGTTGACCAAACATACAATCAAGAAATGTTGCTTATCACTGGTGATTGGAATGCAAAAGTTGGAAACAAGGAAGAATCACCAGTAGTTGGAAAATATGGCCTCGGTGACAGAAAAAAACGCTGGAGATCACATGACAGAATTTTGCAAGCCAATGACTTATTAATTGAAAATACTTTTTCAACAATGCAAATGATAGCTATACACGTGGCCTTCACCAGATAGAGTACACAGGAATCAGATCTACCACATCTGTGGAAAGAGGCAATGGAGAAGCTCAATATCTTCACCCAAAACAAGACCAAGAACTAACTGTGGGACAGACACCATTAGTTTCTCATATGCAAGTTCAAGTTGAAGCTGAAGACAATTAAAAGAAGTCCATGAGAGCCAAAATATGACCTTGATTATATCCCTCCTGAATTTATAGATCATCTAAAGAATAAATTTGTTGTATTGAACACCAATGACTGAAAACCAGAGGAACTGTGAGATGATATCAAGAATATCACCCATGAGGAAAGCTAAAGGTCATTAAGAAGACAGGAAAGGAAGAAAAGACCAAAATGGATGTCAGAAGAGACTCTGAAACTTGCTCTTGAATGGAGAGTAGCTAAAGCAAATGGAAGAAATGAAAAGATAAAAGAGTTGAACAGAAGATTTCAAAGAGCAGCTCGAGAAGACAAAGTCAGTTGTTATAATGAAATGTGCAAAGACAAGGAGTTAGACAACCAAAAGGAAAGAACACACTTAGCATTTCTCAAGCTGAAAGAACTGAAGAAAAAATTCAAGCCTCAAGCTGCAGTACTGAAAGATTCTATGTGCTAACCATAAGGTTGTCAGTTCAAACCCACCAGCTACTCCTTGGAAGGAAGATTGGGCAATCTACTTCCATAGAGATACTGCCCCAGAAACCCAAAGAGGGGTTGCTATGAGTCAGAGACAACTTGATGACACATAACAACAACAACTTGATGGCACATAACAACAACAACAACAACATGAACAAAATATTGAATAATGCAGGAAACATCAAAAGAAGATGGAAGGAATGCACAGAGTCACTGTAACAAAAAGACCTGGTTGATAGTCATCCATTTCAGGAGATGGCATATGATCAAGAACCAATGGTATTGAAGGAAGAAGTGAAAGCTGCACTGAAGGAATTGGTGAAGAACAAGGCTCCAGGAACTGACAGAATACCCACTGAGATGTTTCAACAAACAGATGTCACACTGGAGGCATTCACTTGTCTATGCCAAGAGATTTGGAAGACAGCTACCCGGCCAACTAACTGGAAGAGATCCATATTTGTACCCATTCCAAAGGAAGGTGATCTCACAGAATGTGGAAATTATTGAACAATATCATTAATATCGCATGCAAGTAAAATCTTGCTGAAGATAATTAAAAAATTATTGCAGCAGTATATTGACAGAGAACTTACAGAAATGCAAGCTGGATTCAGAAGTGGACATGAATGAGGAATGAGCGATATCATTGCTGATATCAGTTGAATCTTAGCTGAAAGCAAAAAATACCAGAAAGATGTTTACTTATGTTTTATTGTCTATGCAAAACCATTCAATTGTGTGGATCATAACAAATTATGATAACATTGAGAAAAATGGGAATTCTAGAACACTTGATTGTGCTCATCAGGAACCTGTATATAGACCAGGAGGCTGTGGTTCAAACAGAACAAGGGGCTACTGCATGGTTTAAAATCAGGAAGGGAGTGTGTCAGGGTTATATTCTTTCATCATAATTATTCAATCTGTATACTGAGCAAATAATGCGAGAAGCTGGATTATATGAAGAAGAATGTGGCATAAGGATTGGAGGAAGACTCATTAACAACCTGCAATATGCAGATGACTCGACTTTGTGTGCTGAAAATGAGGGTGACTTGAAGTACTTACTGATGAGGATTAAAGACTTCCATCTGCAGTATGCATTACATTTCAACATAAAGGAAACAAAAATCCTCACAGCTGGACCAATAAGCAGCATCACAATAAATGGAGAAAAGACTGAGGTTGTTAAAGATTTCATATTACTTGGTTCCACAATCAACACCAATAGAAGCAGAGTCAAGACATCAGGTGACGTATTGCACTGGGCAAATCTGCTGCAAAAGACTTCTTTAAAGTGCTGAAAAGCAAAGGTGTGTCCTTGAAGACTAAGATGCCCCTAATCCAAGCCATAGTATTTTCAATTGTCTCATATGCATGTGAAAACTGGACAATGAACAAGGAAAATCGAAGAAGAGTTGATGCTTTTGAGTTGTAGTGTTGGCAAAGAATACTGAAAGTACCATGGACTGCCAAAGGAACAAATAAATCTCTCCTGGAAGAAGTGCAGCCAGAATGCTCCTTGGAAGCAAGAATGGCCAGACTTTGTCTCACCTACTTTGGCCATGTTGTCAGAAAGGACCATTCCCTGGAAAAGGATATCATGCTTGGTATGATGGAA